ACTAAAAATAAATAAATAAATAAATAAAATTGCTTGTTGCCAACCCCAAACTAATACAGAACTAACTCACAACTTCAAGATCTAGTAGGGGTGTGTGTGGGTGTGGGTGTGGGTGTTGTGTATGCTGGTTGATAATGCCAACCATATGGCAGTGTATTCAGTACTGTATTGGTATTTAATAAACAAGAGTGAGGAATTTTAAATTGCAAACTAGGATAATAAATTGCATATGATCTTAAAAGTAACTGAATTCTTACTTAGAGAATAACTATTAAAAGTTGGGGGGGTTGTCACTTTGTTTTTATTTTATTCTAAAAACTTCCAGCCAGCTACATCTAAATGTATCTTTTTCAGCATGACAAAGTTACATAAGAAGAGAATCCCCTTGCACGTAAAGAAAAATGCAATTATTTTCTATTCTGAATCTCCAGACTGCTGTTTTAGAAAATCATATCTGATTATTTGCTCAGCAGAAGATTATTGAGTTGATTTAGCTGCAATTTTAGTTAACAAAGCTTCAACTGCATTCCTACTGTGGAGTCCGAGAAGGTAGTGAGATAGAAATGATACATTCAAACTGTGATTTTGGTGAACAGGGCCATCGATGCACCCCTCGGAGCTAATAGCGGAGATGAGAAACAGTGGGTTTGCACTGAAACGAAATGTACTGGGGAGAAACTTGACCGCAAATGATCCATCACAGGTAATGATCTTCTTATCAGTAAGCTGAAAATGTCTACAAGTCTAAATGTGATTGCTGGAGAATTGCTGCTTAATGTTTTCCAATATGCATATATCCATAGGAAAGTAAAATACAGCAAAGAAAATGCCTGAAATGCTTTTTGATTTTTGCCTCTTTATTATTTTAACCTAAATGAGAAATTGTTTATAAACCTGTATTTTAATAAATGAAACGGTTCCTTTGGGATTATTTGTGTAAAATATCTAACTGAACTGGTGATAAGGTTTTTTTCTATCCTGCTAACTTATACCTGAAGTGACATTAAATTGAACCAGTAGGAAGTATAGTATATAAAGAAACAAACTAAAAATTATGGAAAATATTTTAAACTTCTTTTATTTATTAAATTGATCATAGGTCCAGAAAGTAATGTTTGAAAGGCAATGTTACCTTATATTTGATAACGTAGTATTGTGAAGGCCTAAATTATAATATTTTAACCTTCTCGTGATAATTGTCCTTTGTTTTGTTTTGTGGCAGTGTTGGGAATCAAAGCCATGGCCTAGCTCATTCTTGGCTTCATCTCTATTTCATTAAATTAAAAATAAAATGATTAGCAGAGGTTTAAATTGAAGAGATAGAGTAAAAACCTGCCAGGAAGATGGTATCTGCATTTCTCTGTCCTCCTGTTGAAGTTCCCTCAGGATGGCACAGCAGCTGTGTTAACCGCTTAGATCCACCTTAGCAGGGGAGCCACAAAAATGTCTTTTTCAAATCCCTCCACCTCCCAATCCAAAATATCACACTCATCTACAGTATGTGCCTAGTACAGTTTCTTGTTCATACATCTTTTTCCTCTCTGATAACTGACTTGTCTAAAATCTAGCAGTTGAATGATATTTCTGTTGATGCAGGAGTATGTTGCAAGTGAGGGTGAAGAAGATCCAGAAGTTGAATTCTTAAAGTCACTAACAACCAAACAAAAACAGAAACTTCTCAGGTAATTAACAACAAGTATACATCTAGTGAATTTTTTTTTCTTCACATTTCATCTCGGTATCATACTCAACTCTAACCCTAAGAGCTCTTTATGATTACTTTTAAGGGGCTGGGGATCAAACCTAGGACCTTGCAGATGCTGGGTGAAGCAAGTGAGCTACATTCCCAGGCCTCTAAGAGTTCTCAAAAGTTCCTAAACCATGCATCACATTTATTAATTTACTTCTCAGCTACAATAATACAATTTTATCCATCTTTTCAGTAGCATGAAAATGAATATGATTATATACTTGGTTTATGCCAAAAAAACTATTATGCTTTTTAGAACAGTTAACTTGGAAACAGACTTATTTGTACTGTAGGTTTTACTTTTATATATGTGTATATAAATATATCTTTACACACGCAATTTTTAGAAAATATTTTGGCCATGTATTTTTATGTTTTGTAAACTTTTATGAGGAATGCTGAAGTAATATTTAAGATAAACATAAATTTTATTAGACTACCTCTGTATTTAAAAATCGTAGAAATCTCCGCTGAGTCCAATAGAGGGAGCTCGTGGTGCTTTCAGCATGTGGAGTTTTGAGAAAGCTGGACAGAACCCAATGGAGATGATCTTATTCAAACTAACACAAACATAGTATATAAACAAGTTGCTCTTGTGAGAATGAGAAGTAGAATTTGAGAATACTATCATTAAATTAACACTAATAAAACTTACAAAATTAAACAATTATTGAAACCTAGTATAAACCTCAGTGGCTATGGTACTGCCACTGTGCAAAGCTTCAATTGTTGAAATTTAATATGTGACTATTTTATGTAATGAAAAAGATACCAAAATTTGCAAATATATTCTTAGAATTTCTGGAGGACGTATTCTTCAATTATTATATTATAATATTTGCATATTTTTATGTGGTGCTGGAGATTGAACCCAGGGCTTTCACACTGAGCTATATCCCCAGCCTTTTTTTAATTTTTTGAGACAGGGTTTTGGTAGGTTACTGAGTTGCCTGTGCTGGGCTTAAACTTGTAATCCTTCTGCCTTAGCCCCGCAGAGTGCTGGGATTATAAGCATGCAGGAACACACCGAGCCAGTATTTCCATACTTTTAAAGTAGCATGTACACAAAGCTAATTTTTCATGATTTTAGGTATGTATGTGAATTTGAATAGATCCAACTATGTTACAAACATTTTATAAGCTTTACATGAGAATGACCATTTACTAAGAATGTTAAATAATTTCAGATTCTGACTTAGAACTTTTTTAAGTCATTACTATTGATAAAGTGGAGTGAGAGAATTAGCTTAATGCAGTTCATTTTACCTAAACTGAGCATATGCGTTCCTTGAATAATTTGAAAAAATGATTTGTCATTTCATAAAGTAAAAAATGTATTCATATATAGTTACCATGTTCAGTAGCTTCCAAGAAAATATATTGTTTGTTGACAGTTTTACAGTTGTTGATGAAAAGACTATTTCTCACAGTTTGTTACTGTTTCTCAATTATAGGAAATTGGACAGACTTGAAAAGAAAAATAAGAAAAAGAAAAAAGACAGAAAAAATAAAAAGTTACACAAGACCAAAAGTAAACACAAAAAACATAAACACAAATCCTCCTCATCCTCATCTTCATCCTCCTCCTCTTCTTCCTCCTCTTCTTCCTCCTCTTCTTCCTCCTCCTCCTCCTCTTCAGAGACTTCGGAAAGCAGTGGTGAGAGTGACAACAGAGCAAAGAAAGTAGAAAAGAAGAAGAAAAAGAAAAACAAGTGTTCAGGAAGTAACAGCAGTGCTGCTGAAGAGAAGTCTAAGAAGAGAAGCCTTTATGAAGAACCCTCAGACAGTCACAGTAACAAGAAGAAAGCCAGGGAAATGCCTCGGACTGCAGCGCGAGAGAGTTCTGGGGAGAACGGCAGCAGACGGAGCCGGTCGGGTTCGGGGCAGAAGTCCAGACGCCGCGGTCACAGCGCGGAGAGGGGAGGAGCCGAAGGAAAGGAGGGGAGCAGCGGAAGCCGTAGCGGGGGGAGGAGAAGAAGCCAAAGCCGGAGTCCTGCAAGGTACGAGCAGAGGGAGATAAGGAGAGCGTCCCAGCGGAGTCCCAGCGAAGAGCAGGACAGACGTGACCCCCGGAGCCGTGGCGCAGACAGATGCAGAGGAGAAAGGACGCACAGAGGGCGCTCGGGAGATGCGCGCTAAAGGATGCAGAGAATAAAGACCGCGTGTGACAGTTACCTGCAAATAAAAATCTCTCCACTTTCTTACTGAATACCTTTAGCAAGGGCTAAAGTATGTGCTACCGTCTTTCTAATAAAAAAGCACTATTTTAACTTTCCTTCTCAGTAAACTATTATTTCAGGTAACTGGTAACTTTCTTGTGCCCTGTACCAGATTTTTAAAAACGCATATAACTGTGATTTTTTTTTATTCAAAGAATGACAGTACATTGAATGGTTATAATTTAATTTTTTCCTTTTGTCCATTCAAATGTGTTACTACTTTTAAGATTTGAATTTGCTTGAAGCAAAATGTAATGGTTGAAATTCATTAGTGTGAATTAAACTGGACTTTTATCAGTATTCCTTTGCGGCTTTTAAATTCTCCAGCTATGGTGTTCTGCAGAGCAAGCTGTTCCCATTTGGATGTCCAGGCCTGTGAGTTTTCTATGCTGCCATACAAATACCTCAAACAACACAAATGTATTTATTGTCTTAACAGATCTGGAGATCAGAATTCTCTCATAGGTCTCACTAGGCTCAAATCAAGGGGTATCATCCTTGTGTGCCTTCTGGAGGCTTGAAGGAAAAATTCTGTTCACTTCCCTATTTGAACGCCCAGCGTTCCTTGGCTCCTCTGCCTCCATTTTCAAAAAATAAAGGGCAGTCAAGTCCTCACATCTAATCAGACCCTTTGATATTCTGCATCCTTCTACTTTTTAAGAACCCTTGTGATCATAGTGGGTCTACTGAAGAATGCAGAATAATCTCCCTATGATAAAACCAGCTGATTAACAACCTTAATTCTACCTGAAACCTTTATTCTCCTTTTCCATGTAAATGGAAATCACATCCCATTTACATCCATATTCACCAGTTCCGGGGGACAAGACAGATACATCAGAGGGGACCATTCTGCCTGCCATCCATAGCCTATCACTGGCACACAACTGTTCTAAGATTTTACTTCAAGGTTCAGCAGTTACATAATTTACAAATGAGACTATGCAAACTATTTCTATGTATTTTTAGGAGTACATATAACGAATATTTTTCCATGTATTTAAACAGATACAGTGAAGGAAAAAGTAAAGAAAAATTAAAATTACAGACTATAACATGCAATTCCAAAAGACATTGCACACATGGACACTTGTTATTAGCGTTCTGCTTTTTCAAAAACATCTGTTAGGGCCAGGGATATAGCTCAGCAGCACAGGGCCTGCCTGGCAAGCACAAGGTCCTGAGTTCGATTCCCAGTACCAAAAAAAAAAAAAAATCTGTTAAATATAAAACATGGTTTTGACTGTCAACAGTCACAATTTCTTAAAAGTTCTTTAAGAAAGTTTGCAATAGAAGTTAAAACCATTCCACGTAGTCTAAAATGTCTTTGTCCTGCTTAAGTATGAACACAAAAGAAAGCCCTTCTAATTCTTAAGAAGGTGTAAAATTAAAGGTATAAACCCTTTTCTCTGGGAGCTGGAGAAGTGCTTTACATCCCTCCTCCATATTCTTCAGTAACTTGGAGTGCGCCTCAAAGATCCCCATGGCTTCTTCACTTAAAAGAGAGCATTCATCTGAAATCGATAAAGACGACTAATTTACACCTTGAGTTCATCAGTGTTGCAGTAATTATTTTCTACCTTAACGCCTTTTTAGACTTTATAATTTTTATAATGCCAAAACCTATGCAATACTTCCTTAAAAAGGATTTCTGAACCAATATAACATTCATGAAGAGAAATGTTGAAATGCATCCTTTTAAGAAAATGAATTAAAGACATACCACTTCACACATTTTGACTTTCAGAAGAGTGTGGTCCATGTCTTAGCTTTATAAGTAACCGTTTGAATTTTTTCAATTTCTGATTTAATGCTGCATTGTTAAGATTGCAGTGAAGGGCTGGGAATTTAGCTCAGTGGCAAAGCGCCTACCGGGCAAGAGCAAGGTCGTGAGTTCGGTTCCCGGTACCGGAGAGAAACAAAAAAAAAAAAAAAAAAAAAGATTGCAGTAAAGTGCTTTAGCCCCAATGTTGTTGCCCATCCAATTCTGAGAAAAATTGTCATGTGTTATGGAAAATGCTGGTTTGTAGTTTGGCTTCCAGCCTTGGTCACCCAGTGAGGCTAGACAACCCCAGTGGGAAGCATTCTAATTTCATAAACTTGGAAATAGAAGGGAGGCTTTTTTGGTTATGATTTTCACAGTCATAACAAACAGCTTTAAAGGTTCTCACGTGTTTTGTATACAATAAGGACAATGGAAAAGAATGATTTTTTTAAAAAAAATTAGGCATCTAATTCTATTCAGGACTTTTGAAATGTAGAATCTCATGATGAAAAGATGATTTATAATAAAGAATGTCTAGTATGCATAGAAATTCTAAGTACAGAAAGCCGAAGAATTCGTTTCTGATGGGTGATTTAAGAACCCAACAAAAGTCATCAAGAGCTGGGCATGGTGGTGCACGCCTGTAATCCCAGCACTTGGGAGGCTGAGGCAGGAGGATCATCAGGAGTTCGAGACCAGCCTGAGCTACAAAGTGAGCTCAAGGCCAGCCTGAACTGCATAGCGAGACTGTCTCAAAAAGAAAAAAAAAAAAAAAAAAAGTCATCAACAGTGACTTTTTTTTTTTTTTTTTTTTTAAGAAAACCAGTCTGGTAAAATTGGTGTTCTTATCCTTAATAAAGAGGTTCTTTTAAAGAAATCTAGGTATACCTAGACATTTATTTATCCATGAGCCTGGAACTACACTAGGACTGGTAGGACAGATTTTGGGGAACCCTCCCACCCCCACCGTATCCCTCTTCTCCTGTAACATTTAACACAACACTAGCAAATTAATTCCTGTAGGAGGTGCTGTCGATTTACAAATGACCAGGAAAGATTAGGTTGCTAGGTTAGGACTTGTTTATGTGTCTACTTTTCTACTTTCTTTGTCATAATTTCTTTTAATACCAAATTAGGCCGAGGTTGCTGCAGCATAGCAGAGGGTGTGCCTACCTTGCAATGCGAAATGAATCTTGCTGTGAAGCCGATGGCTGCAGTCTGAAGAAAGCTTTGTATCTGAAAGGCTTGTGGAGACCTTCCTTCCTTGCTGTTCTTCAGGGGCACCGCTGGCTCGTGGTGAATCAGATGTTTCCGCGGCTGGGGGCAGGCGTTTCTCAGTTTTAACCGTAGACCATCTAGTACACTTTAGCCTTGCAAGTCAAGAATTTAAAATCACCGGGGCCATTTCGCTCTTTCTTACCTAATGAGCGGTAGGGCCAAGAAGCTGGTGGAGCCTTAGAGAGGCCCATCTTCCACACCCTGTGCTGAGGACCAGGAAGAAAGCTGCGTTTTTAGCTTCGAGAGCTGAAGCGTATGTTTTAAAATCTTATTTAGATTTTCAAAAAAATCTTTGCTATAGTTACCACTTCTTATGAAAAGATAGACATGCAAAAAACGGCAGGCCTTGCAGGCATTTTCAGATCAAAAAGGAGAAATGCCTTTAAAAAGTTGCGAGGAACAAATACGGTCTGGGGGAACTCGGGTTTGGGAAACGCGACAGCAACGGAGCTCTGCCCACTGGAGGCTCCTGAAATGCAGTGCCCGGGGAAGAAAAAGGAAGCGGACGGCTCCACACCACCTGCCCCTCTCATCCCTTCAGGCCACACAGCTAAAAGCACCGCACAGTGCCCAGAAGCTAACAGCAAACATGGAGAGGGGTGCGAGAAGAAACCTGACGAGCTGCCAGGATAGAGAAAAATGTACTCTCCAGACGAACTGCGCCTTCCCCCGCTCGGAGACGCGGAAACCTGTCTCCTCAGCTCCAGGGCTTCCCGAGGGGGTGGGCAGAGTGGGACCGGGGGCAGGACATCGCCCTAAACTCAAAGGAAGCAGGGAGAGGGCTGGGGGACACGATAGCCCGAGTCCCAGGCTGGGGTCGCCCTTGTCACCCCAGAGGCAGGGGGGATGCCATCCCTGCGTTCGCCGCTGTTGGCCTTCGGGACGCGCATCTGGCAGCCCCTGCAGCCCACGCCACACCCCGATGGAGAGGCTGGAATTAGGGGTGCAACCCTTCCTGGAAGAAGCTGCTGGACCCCCTTCCCACAGGTGTAACAGGAACCGGTCAGGGACAACTCTCTGAATCGGTCCCCGTCCCCTCGCCCCCGGGGTGGCCCAAACCCAGCCAGAAGGAAGTGCCAGGCCGAAGCGCGAGGCTGCGGGGCTGGGGACTGCGCCCGGGGCGCGGCGCGGGCCTCGTCTCCAGCCCCGCCGGAGCTGGCGGGGCGGCGGCGCGTTTCCCCTGCGCAGGTCGGAGGGCGGACTCGCCGGGAGTAGTTAGGGAGGAGAGCGAATTGTTCTGCTCGCTCGAGTTCCACAGGTGAAAACAGCGCTTTCTGAAGCCAGTGCGAATCTCTCGCTCCTGGAGCAAAAATAAAAACGTCAGCTCTCATCAGCAAAGGGACTGGGAAGTCACACCCCATCACTTGGCGGTTCTTTTATAAATGAATCACCCCGAAATGGAAAGGTGCCTGCAAAACCCCCAGTATGAACCCCCAAAGGAAAGAGTGCAAGGATCTTTGGGAAATCCTGAAAACTCTTAAGTGCTGAGCTTCCCCGGGTCCCCAAGAACCTGCCCTGGAGAGCTGCGTCCCCACGGACATTGTGAAACCTTCCCCTTAACTGGCGTTGTAAACACACCGTATATATTTATATCAATAATACATGGGGGAGGCATGTCTGTATTTACCTCATACATATTTCTGTAAACTCCCCCGTCTGGAAAGGGTTGGGGGTAAATAACACTGAACGGTTAAAATTATAGAGAAGGGATAATAACTGATTACTAATTTGAAAGTAAATAAACAGGTGACTTTTTCAGATCAAATTCCTCCTTGGATCGTTACAATAAATATCTCTGAAGGAAGCTCTCTATTTATGTTGTCATTGATTAATTCTTCACTACCTCATTTGATTTCGATTTAGAACGATTTGATTCTAATTTAATTAGCATGTAATTTGGATGTACATAATTACTGTAATTATGACATTCAGGTAAGGCAGCTTTAGGCTGAAAGGCAATTTCAAATTTTCTAGCAACCTACTTTGTACTGGGAAATGGACAAGGACTTTGCGCCCTGCTATCCAAGTGGTAATTAGCACATCTTTGAAATAGGCAGTGCGGCGGGGTTTGTATTAAAACAGCAAATACAAACCCAGCCGAGTACCCGCTGCAAAGGTGGCTGCGAGCTCCCGGAGAGGCGCCGCGTTTCCGCGACCCAAGTTCGGGGAGCCCCGCGCCCCGCGCCTCGGCCCGGCTCTGGCTGCTGCGGGCGAAGGCGCCTCTGCCGCCTCGGGCGCGCGCGGGGTGGAAAGGTGC